ATGTTCCCCAAATCCCACCCGGGCAGCCCCGGGGCCGTGCCCGTGTCCCCGGTGCCACCCGGTGCCACCTGTCCTGTCCTGCAGGTGACGGCTCCCCGCGGGCACCGGGCTCGTGGCTGAAGCTGCTGCACATCAACGCCACGGCCCGGCTGGAGGCCCCGGGCTACCGGGGGCCCTTCCTGCCCCCCGAGGCGCTGGGGGGGCACGGCCACGGGCACGGGGACGCCGAGAAGGGCACCCCCCTGCAGCGGGCGCTGCGCGAGGCGCTGCCCGCGGCGCTGGGGGGCCCCGACCTCGTCCGCTGCAACGTCAGCACGGTGTACGGCTGGCACATCGGTGAGTGCCAGCTGCTGCCAGCCCCGGGCGCCCGGGCGGGTGGCAGTGACACCCCCGGGTCTGCCACCCCCGGGCACCTGCCAGTGCCACCCCCCAGCCCCGGCGCCTGCCAGTGACACCCTGAGCCTGCCACCCACCCGGGGACCTGCCAGTGATACCCTGGTGCCATCCAGTGCCACCCCCGGGTCTGCCACCCCCAGGCACCTGCCAGTGCCGCCCCTGGGCCGGGATCCGGGCACCTGCCAATGACACCCCTGGGTCTGCCACCTGCCTGGGCACCTGCCAGTGCCACCCCCAGGCACCTGCCAGTGCCACCTCCCAGCCCTGCCACCTGCCTGGGCACCTGCCAGTGCCACCTCCCAGCCCTGCCACCCCCGGGCCAGGCACCCCGGGCACCTTCCAGTGCCACCCCCAGGCACCTGCCAGTGCCACCTCCCAGCCCTGCCACCTGCCTGGGCACCTGCCAGTGCTACCCTCGGCATGGTATCGACCTGGGCACCCCTGGCCTGGCACCCCCAGCGCTGCTGCCTTCCCCTGTGACCCCCAGTCCCCCCAGCCCTGTCACCTTCCAGCCCTCCTGGCTCTGCCACCCCCTGGCACCCCCCTGGCACCCCCTGGCACCCTCCTGCAGCCCAGTCAAATTCGGTCCCTGTCCCCCAGTGACGGGGACCGGCCACCGGCTGCTACAGCAAGCCCCGTGCCCCGGTGTCCCTGTCCCTGCCGTGGGACCGGGCAGGGGTCCCCACGGACACACCCCCCCCCGGGCTGGGCTCAGAGCACCCCGGGGTGCTGCTGTCCCCCCGGGCTGGGCTCAGAGCACCCCTGGGTGCTCCTGGGTGCTCCTGTCCCCCGGGCTGGGCTCAGAGCACCCCTGGGTGCTCCTGGGTGCTCCTGTCCCCCATGCTGGGCTCAGAGCACCCCGGGGTGCTCCTGGGTTCTCCTGTCCCCCAGGCTGGGCTCAGAGCACCCCTGGGTGCTCCTGGGTGCTCCTGTCCCCCGGGCTGGGCTCAGAGCACCCCTGGGTGCTCCTGGGTTCTCCTGTCCCCCAGGCTGGGCTCAGAGCACCCCTGGGTGCTGCTGTCCCCCCGGGCTGGGCTCAGAGCGCCCCTGGGTGCTCCTGGGTGCTCCTGGGTGCTCCTGTCCCCCATGCTGGGCTCAGAGCACCCCGGGGTGCTCCTGTCCCATGTCCCCGCAGATGCCGAGGCGGTGCTGGACGGTGACAACAAACCCCTGCCCGTGAGGGACTTCGCTGCCCCCCACTTGTCCCACTCCGAGGGGACAAAGGCGCTGCCAGCGGGGGCCAGGAGGTGGCAGGGGACAGCGGGGAGGGGCGGGAGGGGAGGAAGGGGAGGGAGGGGAGGAAG